AGTTGTCTGGCATACAAAAGCCAAAATATAGATATCAATCAGTCAGCCCTTATTAGGTGCCTACTGTGTGCCAGGCACCCGTGTGCTTAAGAGCTGGGGATACAAAATGAGAGAAAAGATAACCCCTGACCTCAAGTCTAATTAGGGAGACAACATTGCTTTTAATTTCATGGGGGAAAATCAATTCCTGCTTGCAGGACACATTTACTCTTGTAAAAAGAGGACCGTTTTGTCTCTTTTTAGACATTTTTTAATGTCTAAAGTTAACCTTTTCTAAAGTTAACACAGTTTCCTTTAAATCCATGTACTAATTACATCTAAAAGATACCAAGCTCTTCCACTGATGTTCTTTGTATGGGTAGCCAGCCATTGTTTCATGGTGAGTTCTGCTAAGGTCCCAAATGTTGTTGTTTGGCAAGAAACAAGTTCTTTCTCTACTCACCTGCATGAGTTGGAAAACACTGGTCTTTTCAACGTGTGTAGAACATCAAAGTATTTTACATCACGCTCGGTGGTCACATAAAATAGAAGTAATTGCAGATTCTATTGTTTAGGGTTGGAACATTGTTCACAAAGTAAATTAACACAATTGGTCTGCACTTGGAGTGATTCATTCAGATTAGTCTTCCACATCGAGCCTTTGTGAAATAGGAACAAAAACAAAACAAGAAAATACCCAAGTTCAAAGAATCCATGTTTTGTTTTAAAATTGACAGTAGACTTTGCTCTTGTGACTTTCAGTGGTTGAGGAGAATGGCTTTTTAACAGACCTCCAAAGGGAATTCTTTCTGCTGGCCTGGTCCCTCCGTGGGTGGTCTGGGTCCTTCTCTTCATGGCCAGAAGTCCCACCCTCTCTCTCTCCATGGTCTAGGACCCTCCCTTTGTAGTCTAGTGCCTTCTCTTCATGATCTGTACCTCTTTCTCTTCATGGCCTGGTCTCCTCTCTGTCTTCATAGCCAGGTCCTCTCTTTTCGTATTAAGGAAAATTCATTGAATAGCTCCTTTTTGCTTTCTTTTTTTTGCCTTTAAAATTTTTTTTGGTAATTTTTTTTTATATTAAACTTAAATACAAAATGAGAAAAGAAAAAAAAAAACATTGCCATGTACACAGCAGACCATAAGAGAGGATTAAGTATAGAACAATAAATTTCCATTTCAAGAAAACCTATATAATAAATACTATACATTATTTTCAAAGCTGCCCAGCTTTCCTTTGCTTCTTTGTTGGTTTTCTTTTGTTCTCTGCTGTGTACTTTTTACTTTATTTTCCCCCTTCTCCCCAACCCTAAAGAAGGCCACAATTAAGTGTAGAGATACACACATACACATACATGTATACATATATACATATATATAAATTATGTGTCTGTGTATATATATATACATATACAAACACATACACATAGATACCTATAAACATACACATATGTACACATATCTGTAAACATACACATACATACACACATGTGTACTATGCTTATTTCCTCCTCTCCTCTGTTTCTCTGAAGGTGGATAGCATCTTCCTTCATAAGTCCAAGTCTTTCCATGTTTTTCTAAATCAACCAGCTCATCATTTCTTACACCACAGCAATATTCCAACCAAATCACGTCCTATTGGAGAGATTGTCTGTGAAAGTTTTCCCCCAATTTTCTGCATTCCTTCTGTTCTTGGCTACATATGTTTTATTTATACAAGAAAATTTTAATTTAAAATAATCAAAATTATCCTTTTCAGACTTCAACAATGCTGTTACCTCATAATATAGTTTAAGGTCTGATACTGCTGAATCTACTTCATTTACATCTATTTTCCCTGGTTTCTTTGAAGTTCTTGAAATTTTGTTCTTCCAAATTAACTTTGTTATTTTTTTCTAACTCAGTAAAATACTTTTTTTTTAGTAATTTAATTGGGATGATATTGAATAAATAGATTATTTAGATAAAACTGTCATTTTAAAAATTATATTGGTTTTACCTACCCATGAACAATAAATATTTCTTCAATTATTTAGATCTGAGTTTATTTGTGTAAAAAGTGCTTTATATTTATGTTCATATAGTTCCTGTGTCTGATTTGGCAGGTGTGTGCTCACGTGTTTTATACTGTCTAGGTATTTTAAATGGTTTAAAACAATATTGAATAATATTGCTGACACAATTTGCTGTGGTTTCTCTATTTTTCAGTTTTGATTAAATCTGTTTTAACTTTAACTTTGTCTTTGGGGTCATAATTACTATTCCTGCTTTTTTTTACACACTAAATTCTACTACTGCTCTTTATTTTAAATTTGTGCATATCTCTTGTTTTTATAATGTTTCCTGAAAGCAACATGTCATTGAATTCAAATTTTTAATCTGCTATTTCCATTTTATGGGTAAATTTGTCCTGTTCACATTCTAAGCTAAAATTACTTATTGTGTATTTTCCTCCCTCCTATTCTTCCTCACTATCCTTCTCACTCTATTTACCCTGTCCCTTCTCACTCCTCTGCTTTACCTGCTACCTTGCTCTCCTATTCCTTAACCTACTCACCCCTCCAAGAGGGGTTATCTTTTTTCCTCTCCCCCAGCCCTATCCCCTTGCCCTCTTATTTCTTTCTGAATTTAGAAGACTTTTATACATATATACATTCATACATACATATGTGTATATGTGTGTGTATGTGTGTGTATATATATATATATATATATACATATGTAATATGTATACACCCTATTTAACCCATTCCTGATGAGAGTAAGGTTTTAGCACTGCCCATCCTCCTCTCTACTAGCTTCTTCTGTATCAGTTTTTCCTTTTATGCCTCATTTGTATGAGATAATTACTCCTTTTTATCTCTCCCTTCAGTTTTATTTTTTTTAGAATCACCCCATCATACTCAGCTCAGCTCACGCCTTTCTTTCAAACTACTCAAATAACGATGACAGTTGTGAGACTACTGCTAATATTTTCACATATACGAAGTAAACATTTGACCTTACTGAGTCCCTTATAATTGGTCTTTAACATTTACTTTATATTTCTCCTGGCTGTTATATGTCGAATTTTCCCTTAAGTTCTGGAGTTTTTGTCACAAAAACCTGAAAGTCTTTGAGTTTGTTCAATGTCCATTTTTTTCCCCATTCAGGATTATACTGAACTTTGCTGGGTAAGTTACCCTTGGTCGTAACCCCAGCTGTTTTGCTCTGTGGAATACCGTATTCCAAGACCTCTGGTCCTTCAGTGTAGTAGCTGTTAGGTCTTGTGTAATCCTTGTTGTAGTTCCATGATATTTAAATTGTTTTTTTCTTATTGCTTCCAATATTTTCCACTTGACCGAGGAGCTTTGAAACTTGGCTAGGATATTCCTTTAAGTTTTCCTCTTGGGATCTCTTTCAGGTGGAGATTGGTAGATTTTTTCTGTATCAACTTTGCCGTCTTGTTCTAGAACTTCAGGGTAATTTTCCTTGATAACTTCTTGTAATGTTGAATCAGGATTCTTTTTTTAATCATAATTTTCAGGTAGTCTATTATATTATTTCTCCTCAATCTGTTCTCCAGATTAGTTGGTTTTCTGATGAGATTTTTCACTTTCTCTTCTACTTTTTCATTCTTTTGGTTTTGTTTTATGATTTCTTAGTGTCTTAGAACATCATTAACTTCCGTTTACCCAATTCTAGTTTTCAAGGAATTATTTTCTTCCTTAAGTTTTTGATTATCTATTTCTAGTTGGTTGCCTTTCTTGTCATAATTTTCTTTTATTTTTTTTCTAATTTTTCTTCAATCTCTGTTATTTGATTTTTAAAGTCCTTTTAAAGTTCTTCCAAGAACTCTTTTTGTGCTTGGGACCATTTGATGTTTCTTATTGAGAAAGGACTGGCTTTTTTAGCTCAATTATCTTCCACTGAATATGAACCCAAATCTTCTCTATCCCCATAGTAGCTATCTGTGGTTGGGTTCTTTCTCCTTTGCTTACTTCTTTTATTTATTTATTTAATTTGTTTTTTAGCAGCTAGGTCTTAGGTCTGTGCCTTTGCTGCCAGAGAGATTTTTCTAGCTAAAGTATTATTGTTGTTCAGTTGTTTTTCAGTCAAGTCTGAGTTTTTGTGACCCCATTTCGGATTTTCTTGGTAGAGATACTGGAGTGGTTTGCCATTTTCTTCTCCAGCTCATTTTACAAATGAGGAAACTGAAGCAAAAAGAGTTAAGTGACTTGTCCAGGGTCACACAGCTAGGAAGTGCCAGAGGCTGGGTTTGAACTCAGGTCTTCCTGACTCCAGATCTGGTGCTCTATCCACTGTGCCACCAGTCTGTCCCCATCTAAAGTGTTATTGATGAAAAAAATACATCTTTTCAAATTTTATTTTGGCATGAAAATAGGCTCAATTTTTATATTTTGTTTGAAACAGAGAGGCAGCATTGTATAATAGAGGGAGGAAGACCTGAGTTCAAATCCTACTTCTGATGTGTCCTGGCTTATCACATGTGGCCATGGTAGGAGAAGCTGGCTTTGGAGTCAAAGGAGCTGGGTTCAGATCTTGCCTCTGATGCTTACTAACCTGTGTAACCTTGGGCAAGTTACTCAGACTCCATGGGCTTCAGCGTCCTATCTGTAAAATGAATTGGTTGTACTTGACGGCCTTTGATATCCTTTGTAGCTCTAGAGCTTGATCTTGTGACATTCTCCGAACCTCAGTTTCCCTTTCTGTAAAGTCAGGATAATGTCCGTGGTACCTATCTCAAGGGGATGTTGTCAGGTTCAAGAGAGATAATGTTGTGAAAGTGTTCTTGTACACGTCATTATTTTCTTCTTTGCTCAAAAGTTTCATCACTTTCCCCCATGGACGTCCCAGAGGCCCGGACAAGCATTTAGGAGGTCAGCCAACGTTCACAAGTGTTTCAGGGCCTATTGAGTTTGTGAAAAGCCGAGTGAACCACATTCCCCATTGAACCTCTGCATGCCTGGACATTGACTTTGAGACAGACCTCCGTGCTCATCTTAGAAAACTTCTTTTTGTAGGAAGCATGCCTGATGAGCATCCTGTGTGTGCTGGAGTTGCAGAATCTATGCCTGCCCTGTGCTCTTGAAGTCCTACACAGCCCTGCCTGACGTCTCTCAGGATGATGTCCATGTGGATGTTGCCTCCAGGTTTGTCCCATTTCCCAACATCACCTTCTTTAAAAAAAATTATTACAAAAATGTTTTTATCATTGAACAAGAATCGATTTTTTCATCCTCTCATCCCTACTCTCCTTCATTTTGGGGGAAAGAGAAGAGAGAAAAACAAAACTAATGAACGTATATAGGTCAGTTAAACATTTTCTTGTATTGGCCACGTCCGAAAACTAGGTCCCCTTCTGTACCGTGTGTCCAATACGTCTCTACCAGGAGGTGGGTAACATGCCTTATCATTGGGCCTTCAAATCATGGCTGGCCATTGCATTAATGAGAGTTCTTAGGTCTTCTAATGCTTGTTTGTCTTCACAGTGTTATGGTCACTGAGTGAATTGTTTTGGTTCTGCTCCATATTATTTCTCAGTGTTATTTTGCACAAGTCTTTTTTTTTTTTGGCGTGGGCAATGGGATTAAGTGACTTGCCCAGGGTCACACAGCTAGTAAGTGTTAATATGTCTGAGGCTGGATTTGAACTCAGGTTCTCCTGAATCCAGGGCCGATTTTCTATCCACTGCGCCACCTAGCTGCCCCTTGCACAAGTCTTGCAGGTGTCTCTGAAACCATCTCCCTGGCTTATGCCTCCTGGATCATCATTCCATCTTGTAGGTGGATAGATTTTAGAGCTGAGAGAGCCCTCAGAGGCTAATTAGGTCAACCCTTTCCTTTTACACACAAAGAAACTGAAGCTCAGGAGGAGTTAAAGTATCAGAGCTGGGATTTGAACCCAGGTCTTTCCACCTCACTTTCTGAGCCTCTGTTTCCTCATCTGTAAAATGAGGGTAATAATGCTGGCACAACCTCCCTCACATGGTTGTTTTACAGATGAGGAAACTGAGACTCCAAGAGAGGAGGAATTTGCCCAAGGTTATAGGGCTTGTAAATAAGTAGGATAATAACCCCACTATGCTGTCTTGGGAATATGCTTTTGGAACATCTGTGACTTCATATTCAGGGTACAGGCACTCAATCTAAGCGTGGAAAAGACCTTGGAATGTAGAGCATAGAATGACAGAGAGAAAGAGATCTTGGGATGCAGAGCCTGGTATTTCAGAGCCAGAAGGAGCCTGGGCACATTTGTGGTGGCGCCCTTCACTCATGTCCCTGTAACGCTCACTCAGTGTTTACTTAATACGGCGTATTTCTCAACACAGCCTCGTTAGGTAATGGGAAATAGTAGTGCCATTTCTGGGAAGTAAAGGGGCTTGTCCGTAGTCTCAGAGCTGGAAAGAACCTTAGAGACCATCGAATCCAAGCCTTTCACTTTACAAATGAGGAAATGAGTCCTGGAAAGGGGAACTGAGTTATCTAAGAGGGTATATGATCTGGATCTGCATAAGGAGCAGAGGTGTGACTGTTCACTGAAACAGGTCTCAGCTCCTCCACACCTTGTAGATAAATGTAAGTAGTGGCTTTTCCTTCTCCCCCTGCAGCACCCCCTCCAAAAAACCCCAACCCAAAACAAAATGCACCCCGGCTTTTGGTGAGAAGCCTCTCAGCACCCAGGCTTCAGCTGACATACACTTTAGTGTAGAATTGGCTCCTTCTTGCCTGAGGCCTTTCTGACTAGATACACAAGACCTACCAGAACTTGGGGCTTGGCTGGCGCCATCTTTGAGAGCCTGGGGTCATCCACTGTAGAGACAGAGACTACACTGATGATGGGATTTCATCCTTCCAGGGATGAGGGAATTCCTTCTGCCAGTGTAAATCATTCCCTTTTCTGCAGCTTATCCAGATGACCTCTGACAGAGGGCCACTCAACAAGGTGGAAATTTAATATTGATGATGATGGCTAACATTTATAGAGTTCTCACTCTGTGCCAGGCACTTTTACAAATATTATCTCACAGTAATACTGGGAGGTAGGTGCTGTTATGATCCCCATTTACGGGTGAGGAAACTGAGGCCTCTGGTCTTCTGGATTCCAGGCCCCGCTCTAATCTCTGAGCCATCAGTCAGCTGATTAGTTGCAGTGTCTGTATCCCACTCAACAACATTGCTTCTCTGTAGGGTTCCATAGATTTAGAAAGCAGACAAGGACCTTATTGAAGGCCCCAGGTGTCTGGTGTCCAGCAGGGGCATCTGAAAGCTGATCTTGAGCCAACCTTGTCCACCTGGGCTGGATGGAACCCACCCTGAGGTGGGGGAGGAGGGCTGCTGAGAGGTCACAGTGATGTCATAAGTGCCAGCAAGCCAGGAAAGTTCCAAGAAGCTGAGTTTTCCCGTTTGAATGCCAGCGGACGCTACCAGCCTGCCCACCACCACCAACATGTCATCTGTCAACCATCAGCGACCAGAGCCAGAAAGGGAGAAGGGTGCCACTCTCCCTAGCGTCCCTGTGGGGAAAGCAAAGTTAGTAGAAGGGAGGGACATGTGGAGAAACGGGGTTTTGGCCGCCCAGCCCCTTAGCCAATGATGGACCCGGTGGCGTGTCCCGGGGAGTGAGGGGTGCCAAGAGGAAGGAGAGGGAGACGGCAGGCATTGTCCTTAGATTCAGAGCTGGAAGGGAGCTTAGAGACCCTCCTCTCCTCCTCCCCTGCCCTTTGACAGAAGAGGAAAAGGACACTCAGAGAGATGAAGTGATTTTTCTCAAGGTTACACAGGTACTAAATATTTAGCACAACCAGAATTCTAGCCCAGTGTCCTCTGTACAGTTGCCCATGGCTGCTCTGCCCCTTGGGGCACTCTGCGGTCCCTATGCGTGCTTCCCCCTCCACATAGGACAGAGACCCTAGAAATCACTCCCGCCAGCCCCTTTGTTGTACAGGTGAAGAAAACAAGGCCCCTTGAGGCATAAAGTCTTTCTTCCACATTATTGATATGTTGGTTACACCCTAAGAACTCCTTTGGGGGAGGACAAGGAAAATAAGCATTTATTTAGCACCTGCTGTGTGCCAGGCACTGTGGTAACCACTTTACAAGAATTGTGTCTGATCCTCACAACGACCCAGGGAAGTTATTATTGTCCCCATTTTACAGTGGCGGAAACTGAGGCAAACAGATATGAAGTGACTTGTCCAAGGTCACATATCTAGTAAGTATCTGAGGCCGCATTTGAACTCAGGTCTTCCTGACTTCAGGCCCAGAGCTCTATCCACTTAGCCACCTAGGTGCCTTTAAGGCTCTGTGATATCAGATACCCTAGAGTGATATGCAGGTCACTTAACAGTTTCATGAGTTGCTAGAAAAAATTTATCCTCATATAGTGGCTTCTAAGCTTTTTTGATTGACTGCTATGATCAGTAAAATACTTTTTACATACCATTCCCCGCCCCCCATTATATGTGCATTTATTTACAAATTTACTGTACTACTATGTTACTGTGTACATGTTCTATCAATTATCTATACACATGTTCTATCAATTATCTATACATATTATAAAATTTACATAAAAATAGAAATTTTAGAAAGGGACATGAAATAATATTTGATCCTAGAGTCACTGGGGAGCCATTGCAGTTTACAGAGTAGGGGAGTGACTCTGTCAGACCTATACTTTTGGAAAATCATTTTAGCAGCTGAAGAGGGAAGACAGGAGGCAGAGACCAGTTAGGAGACCATTGTAATAGTGTGGACGAGACGTGATGACTCCCTGAACCAGGGCAGTGGATGCTGTGTGGGCGAGGTGGGGGGCTGGGTGGGGGAGATTCTGGAGAAGAAGACATGACAGAATTTGGCCAATGGTTGGATACATGGGGTGAACAGAAATGAGGAGTCAAGGACACCGCTAAGACTGAGAACCTGGATGGTGGGATGGGTGCTGGTACACTCAACGGAGAGAGGGGAGTTTGGAAAGATGATAGCTTTATGGGGGAAGAGAATTAGTTCGGCTTTGGTCATGTCGAGTTTAAAATGATCGTGGGATATCCGGTTCAAAATGTCCAGAAGGCCGTTTATATTGTGGGATCTGGGAGGGAGCCCTGGGCCTGGAGTCAGGAAGACCCGAGTTCAAATTTGGCCTCATAAACCCACTAGCTGTGTGACTTTGGATGAGTCCTTTAGCCTGTTTGCCTCGTTTTCCTCAACTGTAAAAGAGGGATCATAGCACCGACCTTGTAGGGTTGTCGTGAGGATCGAATGAGATAATACTTGGTAAAGCGCTTGGCTCGGTGCTTGGCACGTGGTAGGTGCAGATTACATCCTTGTTACCTTCCTCCCTTCCTCCTTCCCTTCTTGCCTTCCTCTCTTCTCCCCCTCCTTTCCCTCTTTCCCTCCCTTCTTTCCTGCCTTCTTCCTTCCCTTCCTTCTTTGCTTCTTTTCTTCTTCACTTCCTATTCTTCCCTCCCTCCCTCCATCCTTTCTTTCCTTCCTTCTTTCCTTCCTTCCTCCCTCCCTTCCTTCTTTCCTTTGCTCCTTCCTCTCTCCCTTCCTTTCTCCCTTCTTTCCTTCTTCCCTCCCTTCCTTCTTTCCTTCTTTTCTTCCTCCCTTCCTTCCTTCCTCCCTCCCTTCCTTCTTTCCTTTGTTTCTTCCTTCCTTCCTCCCTTCTTTTCTTCTTTCCTTCCTATTCCTTCCTCCTTCCTTCCCTCCCTTCTTTCTTTCCTTCCTTCCTCCCTTCTATCCTTCCTTCTTTTCCTCCCTTCTTCCCTCCCTCCCTTCTTTCCTTCTTTTCTTTGTCCCTTCCTCCCTCCCTTCTTTCTTTCCTCCCTTCATTTCTTCCTCCCCTACTTCCTTCCAAAGTCACCAGGTGAGAAAGGATAGAGAGAAGAAAAAAAAAGGGTCCTAGACAAAGCCTTGGGGCATCTGTACCCACCGTTGGGCCTGATCCAAATGATGACCAGACAGGGGTCTGGGAAGGAGCACCCCGACCAGGAGGAGAACCAAGAGACAGCAGTGCCACAGAGACAGGGAGGAGAGGGTGGTCCAGTAGTGGCAGATGCTGCAGAGATCAAGAAGGATGAGGCCGGGGAAAGGGCCATCAGAGATTGGGCAGTCAAGAGATTGTCGGTGACTCTGGAGAGGGTGCTTTCCTT